TCTAGGAAAAAAAAAGACGAGGCTTCAAACATTTCCTGAGGGCTGGCAGCAGTGGCTGTATGTTAATAAAACCAAATAGAGAAGATAGATCACATGTCTTCCAGAAACATATATGGAAGAGACTGCTGAATACTATTTGCAGAAATGGGTTCAGTTGTGAAAGAAAGCATACATATCTTATAAAAGAGACTGGGAGCGGAGTTTAATCCCAATTAGCTGACAAGATATACCACAATGCTCTAGATCTGACTATGATAAAACTGAACTACAAGGCCAAGACAAAGACAAGAGGAAAAAGCAGTGGAAGACCGAGACTGCACCTCTGCCCAACAGAACAAAGCAAAACTCTCTCCAACAAAGTAGAACAGGATGCAAAAATTCTGGTTCCATTCATATGAAGTGGTAAAATTATACCAAGAAGTGCACCAGAACTGTAATCAGAAACAGATAAATCTTGTTCACTGTGCACCAAGGAAAACAAGACGAGAAAAGACTGCTAGCATGATAAACATAAGCAAGATGAAGCTGCTGAATGGAGAAGACATGCAGCTATCACTTTAGGACTGCGCTGCAAGGCAAGACAGGTTCAAATATTCAATAACAGAACTCACTAAATCCTAAAAACAAACAAACCCCTTCAAAAAAATCAAAATAATTATGTTCAATAAAAAGACAAATGTCATCCTTAAAGAAAAGAAAACCTTTCTGGACATGAATCATCAAAATGACTGAAAAAAGGACCTGACACACTGTGGCCTATTTGCTGCTATTTGTCTATTTCTGATCAAACCAAACAGAGCTCTGAAAACACACAAAGAACAGACATAATTTTTGCTTTGGTCTTTAATTACTTGCATCAGAAAGTACATACAGGAAGAACCTAAAAAATTAACTAAACCAGACCAACAATTTTAGCACAGGATGAACAAAGCTAAGTAGGCAGAATTACAAATCCCTTTTAAATTCTTGTTCCATTCTCAGAGACTCATAGGATTACTCAAGCAGGCCTTGAGAAGACTTTCAAACAAACGCATAGAAATCAAGAAAGCCACTTGGTGTAAGAATTAGTTCTGTTTTGAAATATGACATTTCAGAGTTCAGTTATTCCTGGAAATTACACGGTAATTAGAATTATTACTGAATAAATTACTCTCCACAGGCAGTTCCTTCAGACTAGAGCTGTTGGACTCTAACAGGTCCTATCACTCAAAGATCTGAAAGCAGTATGTTACTTTTTGGTTCACAGGGCCTGTCACTGATATTGCTGCCATTTCATGAGCTGCTTTTACCAACTCAGGTTACAGAACCTCCTTAGAGTTGCACTGAAGTTGCAAGATTCCCAGCACCCTGGGAGCTGCACTGATTACAATCTCTTTGTTTTGAGTATCTCAGGCCATAAATACAAACAGAATCCTTGTCCTCCCTTCCAGCAAAGGGTGGTCCAATACAACTTCATAAATAATTTCAAAGATCTTGGCTTGAAAGCTTACTGTAAAAATCACAGAATCATTGAATATGCCAAGTTGGGAGGGACCGGAAGGATCATTGAGTCAAACTCCTGACTCCACAAAGGATCACCTAAAAATTAAACCACATGTTTGAGCAATGCCCAAACACTCCTTGAACTGCAGCAGCTCAAGGCTGTGTCTACAGTCCTGGGCAGCCTGTTCCATACTCACCAGCTCTGGAGAAGAACCTTTCCCTAACTAACGCTTAACTTGACCTACACAGCTCCATCAGGCCCTGTCGCTGTCACACAGAGCAGAGCTCAGCGCTGCCCTCCGCTCCCTCTGAGGAGCTGCCGCTGTGAGGCCTCCCCTCAGCTCCTCTGCTCTGGGCTGAACAAGCCAGGCACCTCAGGCTGCTCCTCACACACCTTGCCCTCCAAATCCTTCACTGTCTTTATAGCCCTGCTCTCTAGTAGCTTTTCATTGCCTTCTGATTTTGTGGCACCCAAAACGGTGCTCAGTTTGGGAGGTGAGGCCGCACAGCGCAAAGCAGAGCAAGAATTCTTACTGAGTGCTCACAGGACTGCTAATGGAGCAATTCTGCTGACATAATTAATAGTTAGGGAATTGAAACCTTCCTATCCAACTCTGCAACAGCTAGTAAAGCACCTAGTCTACACCTTCAGCAATCAAATACACCGATCAACAAAGCTTATCACTAAACAGACGAGAAAAAGCTTGCTAATATATTTATCAAATGTTGCACACATCTTCTGCTAGCAAATATAGCTCTGGGTGTGGACAGAGAGAACTCCATGGATGAAAACTTCAGATAACAGGTGCTTTGTTTTCATGTTAGCCTGCTGATTACGGCTTCTTTCCCATAGAAATATAAAACCTGTCCTCACACTGCAGAGAGCTCTACGTAGGCGGTTCTCCAGGAACCTTGCAAGTACCAGGTCAGGTTATCAGTGAGCAAAGAAAACTTCACACACCAACAGAGCAAAACAGAGCAACATTGTATCTGAATGGAAGTAACAAAACATCTGATACCTGCACCAAGCAAGTACACATTCTCAGAAAGGGTCTTGTGCACGATGCTAGCTGTCATCTGTCCATATATTTCATGTTATTCGTGATGTATATCTACCGCACAGCTTTTTTTCCCTTTACACAGAGAGAAAGCCCTTTAGCACCAGAGAGAAAACAGTATGAACCCTTACAGAAAGCCAAAAATAAAGAATAACGAATTATTCACTTAACACAGATACAGTAATTATTGCTTCAGTAAATCAATATTTATACACTCAGAAAAAGGCTAAAGATCCACTTCTGAAGTTTCAATGCATAAAGACGACACAACCAACAGCAAACAAAATAATGGCATAGCCAGTCCTTGAATTCATGTTTTCTTAATTACTTGGGTAAATTACCATTCAGTACTGTTACTCTGCAACAATCTACAACTCTATCTGAATGTTCTGCCTGTGCACACTCTTCAGCATCCAAGTTAGCTGAAATTGCTTAAGAGTCCCAGCCTCGAGGCTTATCTGCACAGGAATACTTTCTGACAGAACTATACAGTAACATTGTATAGTTATATTTGTACCAGTAAACTCCCAACAGGGACAGAGATTTTGAGAACAAAATGTTTTTTCCTCTTACAGAGGAATTCATGGTACTGTTTTTGCAATTCACTTCAAAGTCTAATGCCAAGGAAGCCCATATGCCTAACTGACTTAGCACTTTAAGTAACAGGCAGCAAGACAGAGAGGTGGTCAACACTGTAGCATCTGTAGTTCTTGACACAACTTTACCACAAAGGACTCGTGCACAGAACAAGAAGTCAGTTCCCTGCAACCAAGGAGTTAATTTTAATTAATAAGAGTGGAAAGAGAAGCACATGGATGCTGGCATAAGGCAGACAGGACAACAAAAGATGTGGAGCTTGGGAAAGAAATAATCCATAAAACTGAACCAAAAGGCCACATTCTTATGCAAAACCAGATTTCCTGTTCCCATCCCACTTTTTTGCCCTCCTTTGACAGAACACCCTTGACAGATTGTCTGGCTTAACAATGGAAAGGTGAAAGCACAGTATAAGCAGTCACTCCTGCTTGTGCTATCCGCCAAAATGCCAAAAGCAGGCTGACCTTCATTCCCACTGCCAGAAACATAAGGTCAATATGAACGTCTAAAAAGGTTGTCCTGCGTATTCAGCAATGTTTTTTAAAGGCTGTGAAAGGGAAACTTTCCAAAGCTAGAAGAAGGAAAGAGAAAGGTCTTTCAAAGCAGCTGCAAGAACTACCTTATAAGCCTTTCAATTGGATCAGGATGAGCTAATAAAGCTGGCCCTTAAGCCCTGGAGATTCAGCGTTCAAATTCTGCTTCAAGTTCACAAATGAAAGGAGACTATTATGTTTGTTCTAGTACTTATAGGAATTGAGCCACATCAGAAAATAACTACACACTTTGACTCGCCTCGTGAAAACACTCAGCAGAGACAGGCAATGGAAGGTCCTTCAGTCTGTCTGCAGAACCTTGTCTGGTAGCATCCCTATGACTACATGTGTTAGTCTCGTGTTTTGCTATAATGAATTTTTATAAGCAGCTTCCTGAACAATAATAAAGTCAAGTGGTATTCTTGGAGGTCTTGACTCACACAATTTATTGACATGAGTATGCATCCGGTTATATACTTCATTTAAAGCATGCAGTCCAACTATTATTCTTTGAATGGCTTTTTTTTCTGGTAATAGAAGATTCCTCATCTATGTTTCAGTGACTGGAAACCGGCACCTGAAGAGTTATTTTTTCTACTTCTATTATCTCATTTAGTTTTATAAGAAGCTTTGTACAAAGCCTTGGTTGACTTTAACAAATTAATATAATGTCCAAAAATACAATACCTCATATCTCATCACTCATCTATCTTCATCTTCATTAGATGACTATTAGTCATCTTCAGCACCAGAAAAGTGACATTTTTCAGTTTAAAACTTAATTTTTCATTTTTCTGCTCAGATTTTTTCTATATGAAAGTAATGGGAGCAGGGACAACATATGAGTTTTTCCCTGAAATAGTATATGGGCACCCAGACTGAGCCTCAACTGCTTTTGGCAGGTCTTAAGCACACTGGGCTTTGATATGCAACAGGAGGGCAACAGCACAGCCATGCACCAGTAGCTACAGGTCACTGAACAAGAGGGAGCAAACCTCTGCCCGTGGCCCTCTGCTCAAATGGAAAGAGGTCCTACAGTAACTTTCCTCTAATAAATTGCTTCTGCAACGGTCTCCACATGCTACTCCATTTCTACAGAGAACTGGCAACACAAAATACAGCCAAAAAGCACAAAACTTGGCGAAATTTTGGTAACTTGATAGGATATATGATTGCAAAATTTCTGCAATAAGGACAACATCTCTGCAATTTCAGGAGAACACTGAAATTTCAGTATGTCAGCCAGTTCTATTCAATTTACTTTTTCAGTTCTTAAGCAGTAAACCCAAACCAAGTCAATACCTTTACTGTAGAAAAGTCAAGCTCTTACCTGATTTGCACGTCCTGCCATCATCTTCTAGCTGCACACCAGTGGGACAGGCACAGCTGTAGAAGGGGTCTCTTGGTGATAGCAGGCACAGATGGGAGCAACCACCATTGTTTTCTTCACATGGAGTGTGAACTTCAAGAAACCAACCAAACAATCAATCAGGTTTATTTTCCTTTTTCTAGAACATCTAAAGCTCTTTTTTTTTTCCCCCCCCCCTCTGAGGAATAAATCATAGATCCCAAATGACTGGCACAAGGTTGGTGCTAAATGACAAAGGAGCCACAAAATAAAGCATTTGATTCCCCACCTCCCCAGCAACTTATTTCTGGGAGTATCTAATTTGACATGTATACAAAGCCAACTTTTTAAGAGCTGACAGCTCAGCACATTCTCACTGTACTGTTCTTCCAATGTTTTTGAAGTTGAACACAGTTACGACCTCTGAACACTACTTATTTCACCACTGCTGGGTCTGCTAAGCAGCATGGAAATAGAAACTGGGGTCTGGAACAGCCTGTGCATTGCAGTACTGCTGCACGTTGGAAATATTTTTTTTTCCCAGCTGCAGAGTTTTTACAAGACATATCTCTGGATCATCAGGAAATGCATGGAGGGAACGTGTCAAGTCCCTTGAACACTTCAACATTAGAAAAAGCACAAATACTGAAAAGATTACAAATATCCACTCTTTCCTCTCCGCACCCCAGTAATTTTGAGAACATAAAAATTAAAAGTAAACTTAAAAGATGAGGGGAGTGGGGGGGGGAGGGGGATGCAACTGCACCCTCATCCACCTCATTTACTAGAACAAAATACAGCTGCAAGATACAGAGCAGTAATCACAAATAACCACAGAGAACACCGTCACATTTAAAAAGACACTGCAAGCTATGCAAGAACTCTCAAATATCATAGTTTGAGTAAGCTTAACTACTTCACCATAAAAATACAAAAGTTCCAGTTAATTTGACTTGTGTTACTTCCACTGATAGTCACAGAGAGATGGAAAGGAAGACATCTAAGCCTGATCTTAAAGAAGTCAATGGCATTTAAGCTATTTTCAGCAGATCATATTTTTGCCATCTTTTCATTGTTACTGACCCAGAAATACTGTGACCTACGATTGGGACATTTCCTGAGCTAAAAGCAGTGGCAAGAATTCAGCATAGACAAATTCTTATCTGGAGCTTTGAGATAAGCCAGGATGCTGTGCATATTTGACAACCTCCATGAAAACTTGCACATGTTCCATCACCAAACTGATTTCCGAATTCCTTTTGCTTACTTTCAAGCCTGTTTGCTAATATCCTATAAACTTTGCTGCGGAAGCTGACTTTAGATTTGGCATAGTTGAACTACACAATCCAAATAAATAAGAATATCTCCACTACGCAAGAGATGATTCTTCCCAGAGCTACGGAATTATATACATTCCCACACTACTGTTTTTAATCTCATTTTCACTATTCTGCTTAAAAAAAAGTCTAGGTCAATTCCCATATGAAATCACACAATAAAAGATACAGATAGCCTCTTTACATTTTCCCTTCTCTACACCTTGCCTCCTTTGAAAGATCATCAAACAAAGAAAAAGAGGCACAAACATTTCTTATGAAAGCTGAATACCTTCCATAGTGAAACACCAAAACTATTTGTTGCATACTGAAGATAAGCAATATTGAGTGCGGCCTGCAAAAATTACCGTTGTAAGTACAAGATGAACTTCACATATTTTATTATAATTGTACTTACAAAAAAATGTAGTTACGTGCTTTTTTTTTTTTCTTTCATGTGTCTTTAAAATCACAGTATTTTAGAAGTTCTAAGGCAAGTCTTTAAAGATATGAAGTACTGCACTGGATTTGGAATTTTACTACCCACTGGGATGATGAATAAGCTCTTACCTACTCAGGCTAGAATTTTCAAAGAAAGGTAAAGGATTGAGTAATTATGGTTTCACAACTAATTCTCTGAAACGTTCCCAAAACAGTAAAACTTCACACTACACCTTTTTCTGATTAATGCTGTTCTGACAAACAAAAAACAGCTATGCAAAAGGCTTCAAGGAAAAGTAAAACGTACAGTAGGGCTGCCGGTCTGGGCTTAAGACCTGGATGTCCATGGGTGAATAAAGAGCTGATAATATTTCTCTCCTCTTCTCTCCCGTCCGTTTGTTACAGGCATGAATGGAACGTGTCTGCCAGTCTGTCCAATACAAAGTGTCCCCAGACAGTGTCAACGCAAATGGATGAGTAAGACTTCCTTCAACAACCTTTTGCCTAGATGAAAGAAAGGGCAAGGATTAGTTTGCGTTGCTTTCACCAGACACCCTTACGGGGGGGAAAAAAAAACATGACTTTTTAAGAATTAATATAGAAATTGTCATCTTTTATCAAAAATCACTGAGCCAGGAGAATCATCTGGTGACGAAAGTGACAACTATACTGGAGCATAAAACAACCTTTTACATTAATCCAGAAGGAACTTAGCCCAAGCAAACACGCATCTCACATTTATTTGCATATCTTTATAAACTATTTTGCTTATACCCTCCTGTACTGCACATTAAAAACACTCATGATTGTACTATGAATTCCTTTTCCTATGTTTTTCAGTCTTTATAACTCGAAAATTAGTTTTCTTCACACATCAATTTGAAAATGCTTTGAAATAAACCTCAGTTATCAGCAGCTACAGCAGGCCAAACTCAACAATTAACTTCTAAGGTTGTGAATAAAAAACACCTGGTTTTAGCAACCATAAAGTCACTTTACATCAGCATGCCCCCACAGAACATAACGACAAGCACCTTCCAAATGAACAGCAAAAATGTAGGAACGACAACTTAGACTTTGCCCCTTCACAGCGATAAGAAAACAAATATACCAGGTTTCATAGCAACGCAGTATCTGGTTCAGCTACACACTGACCTCTGAAAGGCCACACCAGAGTCCCTGAACAGGGCTGCGTGAACATCCATGTAAAACCGCCTTTGGGAGGAAACACAGGTCTTCAGTGTGCTCCTCCCACTAAAACTTCTTTCTTTTTTTTCTCCCCCCTTTTCTTTTCCCCCCTTCCCTGTCCTTGTTTGCAATATATGACATCTTTACCCAGGACTTTTATGTTTGCAATCATCGACTGCAGCCAATTCTTTCTCAGAGCAGGAAAATGAAGGAATGACTTGAGGGCCATTTGTCTGCCTCACAAAGCCCTGCACAATACAAGCTGACAAAACACAGGCCGTCCATCACAAAATCCAGGCTTTTCAGAGCCATATTCTTTGAGCGTTCCCCCTAAGATAGCAGTCAACAGTTTGTCTCCTGTCAGTAATGCTTTGTTTAAGACTAAATACTTGTGATGAATATAAATCAAAAAACACTTCAGACATTTTCAGATGGCATTCAGCTGCACTCCCTTTCTTCTGTGTATGCATATATTCTCACATTTGCTGCGAGTGGAACCAAAAGCCACAGAACATATGAAAACTCCGATGCGTTTTCTGAACTCACGAGATCCCCAAATTCATACACACTGCAATTAATTTATGTAGCTTAGATCCAAGAGTTTTGGAGATGCTCAGTAAAAGCATATTTGACAATTCTGCAATCAAAATAATATGAACTCGGTTTTCACAAAAAAAATTATGCATTTTATGTGTGCATAAAAAGGCATTCACATCGCCTTATAAACCAGGCTTCTTAAGCAGCAAAGCAGCTTTCCAATAGATCAGCACACAACTTTGAGAAGCCTTTAACTCCCAGTATCATCCTGAAGGAAAGCAAGGAGCACATTTTTCTTATACCTGTATTCCAATCTGCATTTGAATTATTTGTATAGATGAGGTTAATAACAATAAGGACTTGGGAGGGAAGGTTCATTTTCTTTTTTAATCAGCATAGTTACCATTTGCAGTTTATGAAGGTGAAATAACAAGTACTCCCAAAATTCTTCAAATACATTGAGGACATCAATCTTGCACACATAGGACAGATCTAAAACAGACTGGTATATGCAAGCATTTTCACATACTCAATATGGAAAAAGAAAGTTATTCTTTCTGTTCCAGACAGAATACTAAAACTGCTCTGAAATTTCTGTCCTTCAACTTATCACTACTTTCACCATTAAAAACACCACAGAACAAACAGAATTACTGATTTTCCTCTCCACACTTTGCTACTGCTTTTAAAAAACAAACAAACAACAGTAACAGCAGTACTTGTATTCTAGTATCGTAGCAGCTGTTTTCCACCATATATTGTCCCTATTTCCATTATTCTTAGATATCAAATCTCCCCCTCTCCTGTAATTACATTCCAGCTGACATGCTTGGAAACTGAATCTTGCCAATATGACAGGCAGATTGCTCTGGTAACATTAATTCACCACGCAGAGTGCAAGTTTTCTTCTCATTTGAGTTCTGAAGTACTAAAACTGCATTAAGACTTTTATTGATAGCTCTGTTTGAAACTCATTTGGCTGTGTGTTTAAGAAACAGAAGCAACTTCCCTCTCACAAATCCATCTGCACGTGAAGAAGGTCAATTTTGTTTGACTGGTTCAAAATTCATGATAACCTTGGAATTATTATTGAAGTCTACTTTGCCAGCAGGACCTAAGAGTTTCAGCTTCATATATTTCTTTTTCCATATTCATTGGTGGAAGGGATAAAAGTAAATTATACAAAGCAAATGAAATAAACAGAGGAAAAAAAAAAAAGAGAGAAAAGTTAGGAGTAATATTCACTGGATTTATTCACATGCATAATATTTTCAGGAAGTTTTGTCATATAGCTACACTACTAAGCAGGTTGAACAACACCTGCAGTCCACATGCAGTGAGAAAGACACAAGGAATTTCACAGAACACATGCTGCACGGGAATACCCTGACATCCAGCATGACATCAGCTCTCCAGCAGCTGACTGTAACACATGTAAAAAAGCATACAACAGTGAGGTAACTTTTCTAATGCAAAATAGAGCATGCATTATTTTTCTTCCTAAAGTACAATTTCCTTCCTAGCAAAATATACTGCATGGGGGGTAGACATGTACCAATCTGTCACAAAGGCCAATGGCTGAGATAAACATACTCTTCTTCAGGTGGTCTCTCCCTACCTAAATATGAGCAAAACACATTTTACTTATGCATTAGAACTCCAAGTTTCTACACAAACATGCAAGTAAAGTTTATTACATTTTAACGTGCAGGAGAACTGTGGAATCAGACTGGAAAACGTACGCTCTGTCACCCATCCTTAAACAAGAGGGACAAATTCACATTGTATTGTATGAAAATCTCTTAGATTTAGAATTATGAGACAACTTTCTATGAACCTGCACAAAGGCTTTGAGCTCCCACTCCCTTCTGTAATGGCCTCTTCCCTTGTCTATGCTTCTGACAGTCACTTAGTACTTGTCACTCACCACAATGCCACCATTATCTAGCTGTACAGAGTGCTCTCAATAGAACTTGAGTGTTTTATAAAGGATGTCAATATCGTTATGCCTCTTTTATGAGTGTGAAAATCAGGCATGGAATGCAACTGCAAAAAACTGAAAAATATCAGTGGAAAATACAGTGTTATCTGCTAGGGGAGGGGCATACAATATAGACAGGAGTGTACGAAAACCCCAAATTTCTATTGATACTGAAAGCATTACAGAAATTTTTAGATGTTTTGAAATAGAGTTCATGTTCGCTACACAAAGATCACTGCTATCTCCAGTTTGCCTCAGGGTGCTGCTGACACACTGGGATAGCAACCTTCTGACAAGTCACAAGTCAACACAGCACTGTACGATAACAATGTTCCTCTCTTGCCCCAAGGTAGGCTTCTTTAGATGGATAACAAAAATCTCAGCGTCCAAAGTTGTGTTTCCAGATAATATTCAATTATTTACATCATTAAATATCACTTCACTCTAGAAATACAGTGCCATTCTTTTAAAAAGCAGCAAACTATACAAGCAGGACATCCACACTATGAGTTTCCTACCATGTAACCTGAGTGCACACTTAAGCCTCTCCTAAACATAAAAGTCTAGGATCCAAACAGTCGGGTAGTCTGCATTTAAGAACCAATCATTCTGGTCGCTCTGCCTGACCAGACCAAACATAAATCTATTAATCACATAGGAATCAATTGCAGTTTGGTATACCACTGACAATTCAACAGGCTATGTGAGGACCAAAGCTGGACCACAATGCAGAGACCTGCCTCCTCAGTGGGAGGTTTCATTGGCAAATGGCAGATGCCCGTCAGAACCAATGTAACCTGTCTACTGAACACTGCACTGCTTAAGGTACAAACTTGAACATCCAAGTCTGGCCTATCTGTAGGCTGATCTATGTCATTCTTTAATAGTTAAAATCAACAGAGACACCTGGACAGCAGCCTGCACACTTGCATACTGCGCTTTCTATCAAGCCTTAGAAAAATCTTGCTCACTCACAGTCCGAAATAAGATGAATTTGGGTACTTGTAAGCATGCCACAAAGTACATCTTTGGACAGGGCCAAGGACAGGTGTCTCAACATATACCTCCTGTTGAAAAAAAAAGCAGAGTAAAATACCAAAAAATTCCCATAGCACTAGTCGAATGCTATATTTCCTGGGGCCAAGGATGAGCATCTCCTATTGTTCTGAAGATAAGCACGAACCTTAAAAAAATGCTGTGCAGGAGGGTCATAAACAATCTATAGTAAAACAACAATACAAATATCCTTTAAGACAGTTTTATAGCATGTGAGCATTCTGTTTCTACAGAGCTACCAACAAGTGAGTTTACATTTGTAAACGCTATAATGTGATAGAAAACACAGCAATGACAGCAGGGTAGCAGAGTCACAGGCTGCAACAAGTGAGGACAAGCCCAAGTGCAACAGCTATGGATGCAGAAACAAAGGAAAAAAGCTGCTCACCTTCAGAAGGCCTCAGGTAGGCAGGGATCTTCAGCAAGACTGCCAACCCTTAAATGAAATCTGGGAAGGGGTGGGTCCTGGCTTCACCCCTTCTGGTCACTCAGGTACACTGCATATACCTGAGCTCCCCTGTATTGACCCTTCCTTCCTACCAGGTGCTCAATCACTACTTTAGGCCCTGACTTGCATTTAAACAACAAGGTTTAAGCATTATTCTAGATTACTGAAAAAAGTCTTGGTTCAGAACTAATACAGAGGGTGAGAAAATAATTCACACCATATTATTCACTAAAGGAAACTTACCTAAAGGAGCCATCCAGATTTGCTCTATGAATGAAACTCAATTTTGCATCAGCCCAGTAAAGTTTCTGCTCATCAAGATCTATTGTGAGTCCATTTGGCCAATAGATATCTGAATCAACAATTATTTTCCGCGTGCTGCTGTCCATTCCTGCCCGTTCTATTCTGGGCGTTTCGCCCCAGTCAGTCCAATACATGTATCTAAAAAAGAAAGCAGAGATGCACAAAAATAAATCACAACGTATATTCATTAGCTTCAGCAACAGAAAAGATAGAAGCTCTTTGTAATGTTCTGAAGCATCTTTGATTTTGTTTCTTTCGTTTTCCACCATACACTGGTGGAAATACACAAATACATACTTCCCCAAGAACATCAACATACAGCAATTCAAATTATATTGAAATGAGATTTGCACCCCAGAGGGTGCAAAAAGAGTCCTTCAAGAGAGCACATCACAAGTATTGTTTCTGCATAATGTATTCCCTTTAGCCACCAATGCTGGGCAGCCCCTGCTTGTCACAAGCATTTACAACAGAGCACTGTCCTTGCTTGCCTAGTTATTGCAAGTTAATATCCTCAATCCCATTCAGAAACAACAGTTACCCAACCAATTTCCAAAACTGCCACGGGTAAATTTCCTTTTGGAAACTGGTGTACAAAAAGAATAAAGTGCCTCAAAGTTCATTTCTGTTCAACAGCAAATCGTAAATCCATACAAATTTAGAATTACATTAAATTAAGACTGCAGATGTTTTCCCTCTTCCATCAATGCCCCCACTTTTACTGTCACTTCACTTACAGGCAATTCAAGTAGCCTGAATAGAGACATCAAAAGCATTTATCAACCAGAAAGGACTAGATTAAAATATAGTGAACTCTGCAAGGTCTGGGTGCTTTCCCAATGCAGCTATTTCAGACATTCTATGTCAGCAAGCCCTCGACCTGAGTGAGCACTCAAACAAAATCAGTTAGATGTCTACGCTGAACTCACCAGCGCTCCAGGTTCTTCTGCAGTGACAGAAAGGCATCAGCTCAGAGTTTGTACTGAGCTACATTTCAGCTAAGTCCAGAAACTACAGTGAAGTGGTACCTCTCCAGCCTTGCAAAGCCCATGCTTACAGGTTTTGTAATCTGGTTTGGCTCACATCCCCTGAAGAAGACAGCAAGGGCTATACAGCCAAGCTACGAACCACAAAGGTCAAACAGCTCGCTTTCTGAGCATGCACACAGGCTGGGAAGGCCTCACGGTTTCTTTTATAAAAGAATACTGCTTAGTTTGAAGAAAGAAGCAGGGACAGCCATGGAAACTGTAGCAGCTCTGTAGCCCCTCCACAGGCAGCTGGGGCCATCCTCTCAGCAAAGCAACAGCAGTCACAACAGCTATTCTCAGGGCATATCCCTCAGAACTCAAGCTTAGAATACGCTGATGTCAGTGTAGGTGCTGCACCCTGCTCCAGCCACAACTCCAGTTTTAGCACTGTCGTACCACACAAGATCCTTCTGTCCTATGCCACATTAATTTAAACCATTCTGATCATAGTTGCATAAATCACAGTTGGCCTGTTTATCCCACTGGAAAGTGGAATACAGACAGAGAGAAAGGGCTCACTTGTAACACAATGCACATATATTTGAGTGTGGGAGGGTAAAACAAGGAATTTACCAAATAAAACCTCCATACACACGAGGCCTCAGGCTTCTGATTGATGAATTGAGACAGCTCACCTGAGGATGGCTGCCGGGTATTTCTGTCCCCAAATGCCATCCTCAAAACATCTCTCTCTTCCAGCAGCCAGGACAGGCCAACTGCTCACAAAGAAGCAGAAGCAGGAGCTGAGCTGCCACAGAGCACAGACCGACGTATGAATGTAAATTGCCACTCATTTTGGTTTTCCTTAACAGGTCAGGCTGTAATTTGTGGCAGTTCAAACTGTGTGGTGAGGCAGCTATTGACAAACAATTAGAGAAAGGGCAGATACTAAAGCAGTCATCTATACAGCCAGCTGGAGAACCAGACCGAGAAATTCATCCAGCCAAATACTCATTAGTAAGTCAGGTCATGTTTCAGTGAAATCAGTTCTCAGATTTGGCGCAGCTACAGTAGCTTCAAGTATGCAAAGGACATCTCGACACATCTCCAGAAGAACAGAAATGAACAAAAAGGGCCAGACAGAAATGGGCTCCAGTACAGCTGTCTTAGCATCAACCTCCTAGGAAAAAAACAATCCACGTTTCCTAAACTGAAATTTTCTCTTAGAATTTCAAACCATAAAGTAGAATTTTCTTTCTCCTCCGCAACAGCCTTGTAGCACCATTGAGTTCACTGGAATGTCTTCAGCAGATTCTAGACATAAATTATTAAAACAAACAAATGCAAGCTCAGTACAGGAACCATCTTACTCCAGTGATATCTTCCAGATCCATTCAAAACCATTAACAGGTTGCTCGGTGAACTTCTGTTACTCTCCTTGCTCTGGTTGCTTAACAGTATGCAGTTCTTTCTTAGAAAATGAAGGATCTGTTCAGAGCAGTCCAAAATCCGGATGCTGAAGAAAATCCCAGTCATCCAAAGGTGACTCTGGGCTATATAAATATTTATGTATATATATACACACACACACACACACTGCTCTGAAAGTAATGCCTCCTATTTAGTGTCTGTTACAGTTTTTGTGGAAATAAGAGCACAATAACACTATCTGATAGAGAAAATTCTCTGGTACAAAATACCAGATTTTTGAAGATAGACGGTGGGTGTGGTAGGACAGTCCAGCCAAGACAGTCAACATACTCATGGTCTTCAAACTGGTATGGGGCCTGGTGCTTTCATGTTGCAAGAGAAAAGTCTCCTGTTCTGGCCTGACTCTGGAGCCTTTAGCTTAGCCAGTTTCACAACATAGTGGTCAGAGTTGCTGGTTTGTTCAGGTTCCAGGAAATCCAGAAGGATCCCCCTTTTGTACTCCAGATGACCGAACACATTACTCTGCTGCTGAGGGCTGCGTCTTGAACTTTTTCTTCAATCGAAACTGCACAAGTTGGCACTCTATGGACCACTGCTTTGACTCACAGTGGTGAAATCACATTTTGTGAATAATCATTATGGTGAGTAATGATGCAATCCAGGAAACTATCTTTGGCCTTATATTGGTTCAACAGGTCCCGACAAACTTGCATTGGTGTTCTTTCTGTTCCAATGTTGCCACCATCATTTACTATGCACTGGAGCTGATATTCAGCTCGTTAAACGGCTCCTTGGTTGCTATCTCATGATTCACACAGATGAGCTGATTGAGACACTCTCCATTTTATGGTGTGACAGCTGTGCACGGCCATCCAGGACGCACTTTGTCTTTCATGTCAGTGTCGCCACTGCTGAAATGCACCACTCAACACTGTGCTCAACTCCACTGTTTGGTCTAAATAAATGTTCAGCAAAGCATTAATGAACATTAAGGGTGCCACTTTTTCTCACATGGATGAATTCAACGCCATATCTTTGCTTCATTCACACCATCATGTCTGACACCATTTTGTCAGACTGCCCCTCTACTACCATCTGTCACACAGCAACAAAATGTAATGGAATACTGGCAGGAAGGTTCAGCCTCTACTGAATATCCAATATCCACCTCTGATGTAGCGGGTTAACATCATAAAATAGCAGGCATTACTTTTGGAGCAGTCCTCATAATTTGGTTATGACAGTATCACATTTATTCATATACTTTAATGTGCAAATGCAGACCAAACAGGATCTTATAAGAAAACTAGAAATCCTATGATAGTTATTTAAAAGCAAAATGAAAGAGACAAAACTAGCTAAGTCCCATTAAATAACAAGGATGAAAAAAAACCTAAATTACCAACCAGCAAAATCCTTATCCTCAATTTCTGTTATAAAAGAAAACAAATGCCTGCAGCTTGCCTTGAAGCTTAATGCAATCAGATGATGAGAAATAATAAAGTCTGTAGGCCAAAGGGCCCTCATGGCTTTTCTAATGTATCAAAAGAGCTCCAGTTCCAAACTATCTCCCCTCTGCCCCTCAAAACTATTGCCCTATTTCACAGATGATGCCTTCTCACGGGGCACATCCTTGGCTACACAGACTGCTGGACAATATCAACACACTTGCCTTCACACATAATTTGCCACAGAAGAGATATATCCCTACTTTTTAGCTAATTAACAGGTAATGAGCTCAATCGTTGAAAGTTCTAAAACAATACAACATAATGAAAGTAGCAGAAGTTCTAAGAAAGGCTAGCAGCATGAAGATACACTTGGACAAAATGTAGACCTGTCTTTACACAGGCAGCATACTCCCAAAGCACTCCTCTCCCATCTTGACTTCAACACAGAAGAGATCATTATTACCCTGTCATCACCTCATCCTGATTGTAGGATGTCCTTGCAATCTCATAAGTACTATAAAGCTGATCTTCCTAGAGAACTTTTCAAGATATATTAAGTCTCCGTGGTCATCAAGCACCTACTGATCGATGGTTTCATGCACCTCCCATGTTCTCAAGTGCCCCTTGGTTCATCTCGTGAGTAGAACAGCAAAAAGCAATTCCTGACTTCAGCTATAGATTCCTGCCCTTTTCCAATAGGTTCCCCACTCTTTTGGCAAGCAGCAGTTGCTGAACTGCCAGGAATTCCATCAAGTCAACACCATTCTGGGGATCACTTAACACATCAGGACTAAACTAGAAGTTACGACATCATTATAAGAGATGAGCTGCTCCTGCAGAAAGGGATGGGAATCCCTAGTCTATGCAAGTCTATTTAAAATCCCACTGCTGCCAGATCAAGCAGTTCCTTCCCTGGTTACTATCCTTGCTTCTGACATTAGCACCTTATAAGGAGGAATTCTTAGTATTAATTCTTATAATTATTCTTCTAATTCTTTCAAAGCTCATTATGAAACTTCCCTAGAGAGAGCACCACTACTTTCCACCAGCCAAGACATGCCTTGGACCCTACAACTAGCTAGCACAGTCCTTTTCAGCCCTCCTCCCCCACCATAGCACCATCTAAGCTTGTTTTGACTTTTTTTGGTCACTGCAAAGCACAACACAGCATTCGAACTACGAGGCATTAATGAGGCCATAAAATGACACGTTTTGAATGAATGCTGTACCGGATTTTCAAGAAGGCACAGTGTCAAACTGCCTTTTTTATCCTCCTCTATTTTGCAAC